ATGCATGCATACATACATGCATACAGACAGACAGACAGACAGATAGACAGGCAGGCAAACAGGCAGGCAGGCAGGCAGGCAGGCAGGCAGGGCATACATACATACAAATATACGTACATAGATACCAGTTGCAATACATACATGCGTGCATACTTACATACAACAGCTTCATCCTAATATCTGACGCTCTGCGCTTTTGTGACTGTGCATTGCATGATGCTGTGTTGTGATGTCAGGGAACACCGCCACCGATTCTGGAGGCTGCAGATCTCGCCAACACGCAAAGTCAGGCCAGGGTTTAAAACACAAAACCTCCGATCCAAAGTACCGAGCCGGAGCCCTCAAAGCCAACAACAGAACTCTTGCAGAACCGAAAGCATGTGAGGCATAGGTTCCTATAAGACAAGGGGCTTCCTAGCCTGTCGGCCGAGAACCTGAAACGTTCAAAGCAGAGCTCTGCCGAAGCCTGGCAGTGTCTTCAGGAAGATATCCCGCTGGCATGGCTGTGAGGACACCGTTGATGTCGACCTGATGCTTTTGTAGCGTTACAGTTTTCTTCCCAGGCTGAGGTCCAGTGGGAATCCCTGTTGTCATTATCCTCTTGGTCTTGAGCTTCAATGTATATGTTTCCTAGTCTTCTTGGTGGTAACGGTGGAGCTGGTGGAGGTGGTGGAGGCAGTGGTGGTAGTGACGGTGGTGGTGCGGGGTGTGTTGGTGGTGCTGGTGCTGGTGCTGGTGCTGGTGCTGGTGCTGGTGCTGGTGCTGGTGCTGGTGCGAATTCTGCTGATCATCAGACATCATGAAGAGTACTACCGTGGTGAAGTATTGCGCCATCGTTGTTGTTTTTCAGTAACCTCTCTTCATCGCTGACCGACCACCTCCTATCCAGTCTTTCCCCGTTCTTTCAAGAAGCGACCCTGTTATGGTGCTTTGAGAAACCAAGGTCCACGCGACAGCAGTCCTTGCCGGAGACATCCACAAACCAGTCCAATTTAAAGCAGGTAGCCAGTCAGAAATACAGAAATGAGCCCCGGCTTCGGGCTTCGCTTGCAGACCCTTCGGGGGTTGGCCTTAACCCTGCAGTTCCCGAAACCCTAAACCTTAAACCCAAAATCCTAAACCCCAAATCCTAAACCCTAAATCCTGAACTCTGAGCCCCAAACAATCCTAACCTCTAACGCCTACACCCTAGACCCTTAAAGCTTGGGGTTTGAAGATGAGGGCTCCTAGGGCATTGAAAACACAAAGGGTTTTGCAGCCTCTGGAAAACCCGTCGGCCCTAAACCCTAAACTCTAAACCCACACCGGTCCGCGCCGGAATAGGGTTGAGGACTTTTACTGTCTGGAATTTTGGTGTCTCGGAGCGGCCCAGAGCTGGGAGTTAAGTGTTTCTAGGGTTTAGGGCTTAGGGCTTAGGGCTTGGGGCTGAGGGCTCAGTGTTCAGAGCCTCGGGCTTAGCGAGTTCAGGGAGTCTTCGGAATATGTCTCGGGGCACTCGAATGAAGGTCCGAGGCAGGGTCATAAGCGGCGTTGCCATCCACATGGATGCCCCAAATATTGCCTCGGGATTCGGGGGTGCAAAAACCCTACACCCTAAATCCTAAACCCTAAACTCCTAAATCCGAAACTATAAAATCCCCTAAACCCTAAGCCTGAACCCCCAAAGCCCTTGAGTTAGGGTATAAGGTTCCGGATTGAAGGCTTCCGATTCCGCTTTGGGGTCTCAAGTTTAGGGTTTAGGGTTTAGGGTTTAGGGCTGTGTCTAAAGTATACTGCAAGTTTGGTGTCACCTACTATGTTGCAGGCATCCGCGCTACAGGTGGGGTTTGTGGTAGGGTCTATTTAGAGCATGCCTGAATAACCCCTACAAGCCTAAACCCTAATAGACCCAAACCTTAAACCCTCATAAACCCTAGTACACCCTCATGAACCCGAAACCCTAAACCCTTACCACACTAACCACCCGAACCCTAAACCCTAGAACGGGTTTTTCAAGGCCTTCGGTTCTGAAATTTCTTTGGACCATCGTAGAATATAGGGGCCTTAATAATTAGAATAGGGTCTGGGGGGCACATTGTACTATAATCATAACAAGGAACACCACAATGATATAGGTGGTTATTAAGCCTCTAAAACCCTAAACCCGAACCGGTTTGGAGATTCATGTAGAGGTCTGAATAAATACCAGAACTGTTCTGGGGGGCTTTACTTTTTATAAGTATAGTATACTGTAATATAAGAGACCCCATAACCCTATTCTAAGCATTAAGGCCCCTATCTCAGGGGTTTACAGTTTAGGGTAGTTTAGGGACCCTAGAAGTTTCTGGCCTAAGTCTATATTAGTCAGAAGAGTGCTCCTTTAAGGGGTTCCTTGAAGAGGTTACTGTAAGGGGTTGCTTTACGAGGTTCCTTTAAGGGGGTCCTTTAAGGGTTATGTTAAGGGTTTGCTTTAGGGGGTTCCTTTAAGGGATCTTTTCAGGATTCCTTTAAAGGTTCCTGTGTCAAGGGGTTGCTTTAAGGAGTCCTTTCAACTGCAAGGGGCTTTCTATAGCTTCGTCATTAGAATCCGGGCTGGGGGGGACACTATGCTGCAATTTTTTGTGATTGACGAGCCCTATGGAATACTATTCCTCAGTAGCCAGGCTTGGGTGTCAGGCTGACAGAGTGTAGTTGGCTGCAGCTGTTCATGGGGATTGTAAGAGTAGATGCTCGAAGGGTTGTTATTGCTCTAAGGCTCCATAGGGTTTCCACGTAGAACACTCTAGAATGTCGGTCCCTACCTGGCTAGCCAGCTACATGCCAACGGCGCCGAGTGTTGTAACATGCAGGATTCGGGGCAGGGAACAAGAACCTAATGGCGGAGCCTTAACAATTAGAATAGGGTTTTGGGGTCCTTTATAATCTAATGATCATAAGGAGCCAAAAACAGTATAGGTAGTTATTTAGGCTTTTGTGTTAAGCAACAACCATCCGTATCAGGTTGGGATTTCCCACTATCTTTTCTTCAAGTAAGCCAGTAGGGAATGGCATGCTCAAACGCATCTGCCCGACTCCGAACATACACGAAATAACTGAAACCTTAACCGTGAATGCAATGGCAGCAGCAACTGCATCGAGCTCAACCCAGCCCAGGACGCCATGCGAGGCCAGTGATGGAAACTAAGTTCTGCCTTTAGGGGCTAGCATAGCGCAGAAAAAATGATTCACTGGTGTGAGGCCCACCCCATTTTTAAGCCCTGGGCGGCTACTTCGAACAGCCTTGGCCAAGATTTCCATCTCCTGCGGATGCCGAGGGCATACTTTGAAGTGACATGGGTGCAGGGCATCCCTTTCGAAGGAGATGTGTTTATGCGTCCAACAGTCAGACAGGGTGCAGTGCATCCTTTGCTAGGGAGATGCAGATCCTCCTCCCTTCTCCCTAAATATTTGGACTTGGCTAGCGCCCCAGGGGTGATTTGATGTTGTAGCTTTGAGCAAAAACCTCAAGGGGTTTCGGAAAGCACCCCAGACAAAGGCGAAACCCAAACTACAGACCCATCAGATCCCAGTACTGTTTCTGCCAGAAGGCAGCCTGGTTGCTAAGATCACAAACCCCCCAAAAAAGACATGTTAGTCGCGGCAGGAATATTTGAGCCCACAGCTCCGAACCCAAACCTCGCAGCGGTAATGGTTCTCTGTTCTCCTTAGACCCTAAGCCCTACAACAACCTTTATAGGAACCGTCATAGGACCCCTGTAACTAGAGGCCTTGAATGACTGAACTCGTATCTACACAGCTACGAAAGCAACGGAAGCAGCATTTGGACAGGCGGCCCCTTACAGCTTCTGAGCATATTCGTAAATAAAAATCCCCTTAAGCCCAACTAGGGAAAGTGGAGTAAACCCTAAATCCTAAACTCTACACCCTATAAGGGCGATTATACCATATCCAAAAAGCTACCTAGAGAACCATCCCGCGCAGCAAACGAGAGCGTGTATGTCTCGGCAACATGGCAGCTTCACGAGCGCTCGAAAGGAGTTTTGGGGTTTGGGGTTTATAGGGTTTGGGGTTTCGGATTCAGGCGAAGGCTAAGGGCTTTCGGGTTGAGAGCCTTTGGCGTGAAGGGTTTTGGGGTTCAATACTCCTCAGTCAGAAGCGTGAAATTTCAAACAAGATACTGCCAAGCTTGCTGGTGCAGACTGTACTGATCGTGGAGTCCTGCATCTGCAAGCAGTTGAAGGAGATGTCCAGATGCTGGAGTGTCTCCACCACCGATACAGCCTCGAGGGTTCAATCGGTTTAGGGCTTCCGCAATCCCTTCGGTTGTGAAAGCAGCTCGGGCCGTTGAAGGTGACAAGTTTAAGGTATTTAATATATGGGCCTTAACGACTGCTGGGGTTTGGGGTGTGTGTGGATATATATATATATATATGCTACCCCCCCCCTCAT